ATTTTGTTCCTTTTCTTCAGGTTTAAAGAACTACAAATAAACATCGGGCAAATGGACTTAAGCCCGGGCGAATCGACTTTCGGGTGAAACGACACGTTTCGCAGTACATAAGTCAATACGACCCTGTTGGTAGCCCTGTTATGGTAGTATCACATCTTAAAAAAGGTTAATTTAGGTTTTCAACTAGCCGGTCGGTGATACATCTCCAATCAAAGACTACTCTCCTCATTTTAACCTCCTCTTTTCTCATATTTATTGACTCAAAAGTTACGGAACACACTCTGTGGAGGAAAAGTCTACATTCTGGAGCGGCTAGCAGGCAAAAATTATACCTCCTTGAGCTTTTACCAGGCGAAGTCCGCTGAATTAAAGCTATGCGCTCGCCGCTTTCCATTTCTCATATGCCGCACAAGAATTCAGATATGCGCTTTTCACTTTACGCTGGACGTTTTAATGGAACTGTTCGTTTTTCAATATCTCCAGTTTCTATTTTTACTACGGTTTCTCAGGACTTCAGTAAGAGTAAAAAATAGACTAAAATCTTGTTGTTTTTAAGGCCAGTAACCCGGTCCCGCCAAACAAAGCTACTGCGGTAAAAGCAGCTGCCCGAGATGCGCTGATGTGGCTGAACAGTTTTGAGGGAATGATTCATGAAGTCTACCTGGGTTCTACTCCAAATGATTTGAAAAAGATAGGAATAACCATGGACGAAGACAACGTAATGAAACTCACAGCGCCTTTGGAAGACGGTCGGCAGTACTTCTGGAGAGTAGATGCAGTTATCAACAAAGAGGTTACTTACAAGGGTGATGTGTGGTCCTTCATGACCATGCCGGCTTCACTTGGGCAAAATGGCATGCTGTAGGCTAATCTATAGCCTGCGAGCCAACTCTCCTTTCGCGTCTCCTTTGGTGTACGGCTCTTTCGGGACTTGCTCGCAGGCTAGTTAATCTCAAACGAGCTAAACTGAGCGGTTTCTAATTTTTTAAGTTAACTTTTTAACAGTGTTCTTATGGAAATTTAAGAGCACTTTCCGATGATTTTAAGCAAGCATTTATTGGCGAAAACCCGTTTTCGTTTCTCTAAAGCGTTCCATGAGTTGATAAATAGCAAGGGTGTAACCCAATCAGAATGAAGGATTTCCACTATTTAACCAAAGGTTGACGCGTAAGAAATAGTTTTAAGCAGCTTAATTTGAACCTTCTCTCATTAAGCAAATGAAAAGCGTTACTTGTATCAGTTTATTACCCCAATGCACTATTGGGATTCGTGTAAACACTGAATGCGTTGGTTTTCAGTCCTTGCACCACGTTCATTGGCCGGATGATGTCTGCGCAAACTCGATGTGAGTACCGCCTCTGGTTTTGGCTAGCGTACCTGGACATTCAGACGATGCTAAGAGATACTCCACGGAAATATTCGGTGATGAGTGGCCTTACGTTTTAAAAAGCCGAAAACCATTGAAATCAATTAGTGTTCTTTGGCACGCGACCTCTGTTGGTTGCCTCAACTCGCTATTATATCCTTCAGAACTATTCTTCTACTAATGAAACATCGAGTCCTTTTTTCTCTTGTGAAGCTTTGGGAATCCTACAAATAAAACCAAACGAAAAGTGAAAAAAAAATCGCCTTTTTGTAAAGCAAAACCAATAGACTGGTCTTGCCACGGTTTTCCACGCCATCTTGACGAGTAGGCAAACGCGTGAGAAATTACAGTGTTTGCTTGAGAATCTAATGTCAAATAATTTCCGTAGAATGGCTGTTCTGAAAAAATATATATGAATTGTAAACTAAAGCTTCACTCCTAAGGAATCTATTGAAAAAAATTGAGGGCGTTACATGGGCTAGAAGACCTAGAACCACTTATTTAAATTTTCTATTCATTTTTCTGTAAGAAAGTCCCGGGAAAAATTACAGACAAATATATGAAAAATCTACAGCAAGCCTCTGAAGAAATTTAAGCACAGGTACGCCCCCAAAATTTGTTAGTACAATCCTTTGTTTTCTAGCTTTAGTTTACAAGTCATATATTTTTTTTGGAACAGTCGTTTTACGGAAATTATTCGACACTAGCTTCTCATACAAACACTGTAATTTCTCACACGTTTGCCTACGAGTCAAGGTGGCGTCGAAAACCGTGATAACGTCTATTCAGTCCGTTATTCGGCAGAAGTTCTTCTAGCCTAAGTGGCAGACGTAATTTAGCCTCGGTTAGTAACGTCTGCGAAGCAGTGCCGATATCCTCGTTCTGGGCCCCCAACGGACTCAACGAATTACCGGAAGTGCGTTTTGGGTTTCCTCTTATCCTGATTGGTAAATTGACATTGTCTTTTTCAACAGGCCAATCATGGCGCGAACTCAAATCTTGGTACACAGATGGGTCTCCTGTGCTCTTTCACAGACGGACTTAACGAGAGTTTAGTTTCGTCTGTGGTACAGGCTAGGTTTTTCCTATTTGTAATATTCATGACAGACCTGAAGAGTTCAACTTTTTCCGGGGTGACAGGCACTGAATTGAAGCCAGTTCTTCCGTTAAATTCCTTTAATACTTCGACCTCTTTATTGCGCATCTGGAGAAAAAAAGGAATAGCGAGTTTAAGATGCAGAACGCCGATGGCAGTGAAAACGTTATTTTTACAGTAATTTTGGGTTCGTTTTAACTATTGCCATCGATCATTACAACTTGATGAATTTGTAAAACTTGAATAATTCGAATTCTTCTGACATTGAATTTTTAACACTGTATTTTGGAAACCTTATGCATTTTCAGAGAAATCGGATGTTGTGTGCTTGTGTCCCCCATAAAACTTTCATCAGGAAATTCTATGTTGCAGTCTTGTAGTAGTGGCAGCAAAGAAATGAATCAAAAAGTGAGACGTATATAATTATTAAAACCTATTGCATTTTTGATGGTCGCATTGCTAACCCCATTGTACTCCTCAAATGTCTTAAAACACAGTCAGGTTAATTCAGTATACCAGTACTTAGAAGTCACTGATGAACAATCAACACACATTGAGGTAATTGCCTAGAAAAGACCAAAGTAGAACAATAAGAAATTTTACCAACCTTATCTAGCTCATCCTGTGTCTCATGTGTATACCCAAGTAAGTGACAAAGACCATGTGTTATAATAACCTAAGAATGTACAACAAAGAAAAGGTCTTTACTTTACAAGCCTTTAATGAGTGGGTGTCCTGTGACTCAAACATTACAGTAAATTCTGTGTCAGGTGGGCCAATATACCACAAGGACTACAGACTATAGCCTGTGAACTGTTGAATTGATAGAAAACATGGACTGGATGTCAAAATATGTGGACTATGGACTGGGTGTAGTAAAAAAAGCCTTCATGAATGCGAACCCCCCCCCCCACCCCCCTGGGCAGGAGAACGGCACAAATTTTTGGCCTTACCAGTCAAGAATGGTCCCTCACCCGCTGAGCTAAAATTTAGAGAGAACACTGGGCAAGAACTAAAGTAAGACTGCCAAAGTTTCCCAGTTTTTTTCTTTATCTGTAAATGTCATTATTTACCATTATGCCTTCTTTGGTCTGGTTGCTACGTGTATAACTCACGTTCCATAGCTTTTTAGTCAATGTCTCTGTCCAGGGGCTCCTCATGCCTCAACAGGTTTCTTCAGGATCCAACATTTGCCTTATTTTAGAGGCCAGGATTCAGGATTTTGAAGCAAAGTGGGAGCGCAGTATGCATGGAATTGGAATGCCCAGTCCATAGTCTGCAGTGCATGTTTTAAACTGATCACACATAAACCACTGTCATAGCCTTTTTAAGAATTCAAAACGAAACTTGAGAACAGCAATGCTGGATGACTTACTGGTAAATAAGTATCTAGCTCAATTCCATCAGATTCACAATCTTCAGTTATTTTATGAGTTCCAAGGACAATATCCCCCAGTGTGTACTCATGGGGCTTCAATGGCATTTGTGGTAGGACTCCTGGCTTTGGTAACTGGTGAAAAGAACAGTGATATCACCCCCATGTAAGGAAATCTAGATTCTGGAATCTGGAAAATCTTTGCTTGTGGAATACAGAATCTTGGAAATTTCTCTTGTGGAAACCAGAATCCTATGCTTTGGAATCCGGCATACAGCACAAGAAATTTGGATCGATCCAAGTATTGGATTCCGGAATCAAAGGTCCACTGACAAAATATCCAGAATCCAGTACCTGGAATCCGGAATCCACGGTGTGGAATCCAGAGTCCGAGACTCAATTCGATTCTCTTACATGGAGCAACATGATAAATAAACAGTCATTAAATAAATTTGTTTCCTGGTGTCTACAACAATCCTTGAATTTACTTGGTGCCCACTACCATTTTGGGGGGATTGTTCAAAAAAACTGCTTTAGACCTTTTTTTCAGAAATCCTCCCCTTCCATTTGCCACGCCATCTAATAAGTCCTTGATGTTGAGATCTATCCAAATTGAGAAGTTTTGAGTTCAGTCACAAAACATATACAGCTGCATCAAATGAGTGCACTGCACATTTGAAAATTTTATGGTTACCACAAGGAAGAAGGAGCCTTTCCTTTTCGATGATCTTACCTGAAGATACGGAAATGCAAGAACGTCTGTCGTGACATTTCTTCTCCTATATCTTAAATTCAAGCTCTTTATAAAACCTTTTCCCACAAAAACGAGGTTTACATCGAAGTGGTTGATCCTTAAGATGTCTACCAGAGTGTTAGCATTCTGCAAAATCAATGGAATGTTTAAAACTATACGCTTTTGCAGATTTCTAATCAACACTACCATAATTTAAAACCAATAAAAGTTCTTTTTTCTCTTACAAGACATACAGCCTTATGTATGTCGTCACAATGCTTCCTCGAAATTGTCGGTGATTTGGATCACCGTTGGAGCTTTTTTGTGATGAAAAAGTTAAAATGTTCCTTTGAAAAACCCTGCGTGTTCTATGCTTCTGATACGTTTATAGAGCTTTTAGTTCCCACAGCCAAAATTTTTCATTAATAAGAACAGAGGGCGAATCGTGTCACATACACAAACCAAAAAACATAATGTTTTTCATGAGAAAAATGTTCAGCGGTTTGCCGCTAAGTCGGTACAATATATGTACCCATACATCAAGTACCTACCCTTGAGTTTACAGTTTCACGTGGTGGAAAAACATGGGGAAAGAGCGTAAAAAGAAAGCAAAGAAAAACATTTCAGCGGCGAAAAAGAAAGGTATTTACTCTTGTCCACTGAAAATTTTAGCCTTAAAATTGTAAAGAATTTAAAAATGTATATTTTAAAAGCTTATACTAGTTCCACTCATTTCTTAAATTAGGAAATTCAACTAAACTAAAGGAAGATGCCTCAGCTGACTTGGACAAACCCGAAAACCGTCCTGAAAGAGGTGTATCCAAAAAGCAAAAGCAGGCAGATGGGAAGAGTAACTACAGCATAGCAGATCTCTTGAAACAGGTTTGGTCATAATCATCTCAGCATAATTCTACAAAGGCTATAAAGGCTACAAAGGCTACTAAGGCTAATTTTTAGCAAGTGAACACTTTTCATCTTGTTCTTTGTGGATCAGCTCCTGTGCCAACCAGTCCATAAATTTTTGTAACCCCGTCACTTCTCTTTCCTAATCCAGTGGGGGAGGAAAAGAGACTTGCCTCATGAGCATCTAATTCAGCTTGTGTGAAAGGCGACGTTTGAAATGAACCAGACCTTCCAACTCTCACGGTTTGATCGTGAGACTCATGGTTTGGGATGCTATCTCACGGTCTCACGGTTTTGCCTCTAAATCTCACGGTGAGCCAGAAAACCTTGACAATGCCGAAAACTTCTGCAAAGTATGAAGGAATATCGAATAATCTGTGTTCATAACAGCCGATTAATCAAACTGATTTGTGAGAAAACCTGAGTACAATGTCACTTCCAGTAAAACATCGGTGCGCTAAGGTCTCTGGGAAAGCTTAGCTTTCGAACACATGCACAAATTTCAAAATGGCCCCCTTTTTCCAAAACTCAAGAGCAAAAAAAGCAGCAAAAGAATACAACAGGGGGAACTAAAAAGGTAAAAAAACACTCAAACAAGTAATCTGTTTTTTTTTTTTTT